GTACAGCCCCAAACCACACCAAATCCATGGGAAGAGCTCATTCACTCATTCATTTCTTCATTTGTTTTTGGAGCTCTGAGCTCAATTATAGGTCCCACTCTTAAAAGAAATTGACAAGCAAGGCTGGGTGCAGTGGCTCATGCCTATAAACTCAGTACTTTGGGAGCCTGGGAGGCGGAGTTTGCAGTGAGCCATAATTGCATCACTGAACTTCAGCCTGGGTGAGAGTGAGACCCTGTCTCAAAAAAAAAGAAAAGAAATAAAAGAAATACACAAGTTAAAACTCATTTGGGAGGCAACATTTTAAAGGCTACTAAAACATTTTCACATAAGAGCCAAAGAACCAGGTGGAAGATATAACAGATAGGAAGCTCCTATTTGTAACAAAAGCAAAAAAAGATAAAATAGGAATAAACCTAACAAATATGCCAGAACTTTAGTTTTTTAAAAAAGAAGAACAGCTTTAATAAGCTACCAAAGGACAAACGGAATAGCATCACCACCAACACTCATAAGTGCTCTCCACACCAGGTACTGCGTTAAGTACTTTCCTTGCCTTAACCACACTCTTCAACTCAAGGAAGTAGCTGTTGTAAATATTATCTATGGAATAATGATATGCCCTTATTTGAAAATAAAGACATGATATCACCAATATGCCAATTCTTCCTTTAGCAGTTACAACCCAGAACCACCACTAAGGACTTCTGGTCTAGAGAAGACAACACCTTATTCCCTCCTGACTAAGAAGCGTAACCTCAACTCTAGAAACAGACAAGAGATGATCAATGGAGAATTCTGAAAGGTGGACAGAAAAAGGCTGCCGTGGGATTCTAGCACTGGGGAATGCATAGTGGCCAGGTGTCTCCCTGGACCCCATCCAACTGGAGGGTGACCCAGGCCCAGTGTTTCCCAACTCCCAACCTAGCAATAGAAGGCAACGCAGGCAGGTTCAATCCCCCCAGGTCAAAGGAGATCTTCCACACAACAAGAAAACCAGCTCCACACACCAAGACAACCAGCATCCCCCACCCACCTGCTGCAGCAGGTGGCCCAGCCTGGGGCAGCTCCCCTGTTCCCTCAGGTGGGCACTAGCAGGGACCGGTGGGAGAGTCCCAGTGATACCAGATAAGCCAAACAGACCAAAATAGCACCATGAAGTCTCTGAAATTAAATTGTCATTAGAATCACAGCCCACAAAGTAGACCAGGACCTACACACTAAACCTAAACAGAACTGCCTGCAAAAATAAAAAAATTACATAGGCCTTCCAGCAGAATAACCAAAATGTGCAGGAATCAAGAGAATATCACCTGTCATACCACTGAGAAAATAATAATTTTAATGCGAAAGGACAACTGAAGACACCAACACTGAAATGAGTCAGATGCTGGAACCATCTGACTCATCGCTTTTAACAGCCAGTATAAAAATGCTTCAACAAGCAACAACAAATCCCATGGCAACAAACAAAAAACTGAAAGCTTCAGCAAAGAGAATGAAGAAGAATCAAATGGAAATTAGAAATATAAAATACAGTAACATAAATTATAAAATAAATCTCTCAGGATGGGCTCTATTGAGTAAAAGTGGAGATGACACAGGAGAGAATCAGAGAACATAAAGCCTGATCAGCAGAATTCACCCAGTCTAAACAATAGAGAGAAAATAACCTGAAAACAAATGAACAAAAGCTGCATGGACCTGTGTGACAATAACAAAAGACCCCGCATTTATGTTATCTGAGTCTCACAGGAGACCAGAGCTGCGAGAGCACGTAGAGAACTAATGCCTGATGCTTCCCACATTTGGTGAAAGACAGAAACTTACAGATTCAAGAAGCTGAGCAAATCTCAAAGTATACCAAAGAAAGCAACACCAATTAAACTTTCAAAACTAAAAACAACGACCAAAAATGGCAGAATGCCTGTAGGGACATGCCAACTCAAATGTCAGTGTATTTCTCCTCTAAAATCATGGAGGCAAGAGGGAAATGCCATATTTTCAGCTATACCAGCACTTAATATTCAAGCTGGTAATTTATAAAAGCAGAAAAGGTAACAAGACCTAAATGGAAGATGGGTTTCCAGACTTTTAAGAAGTAATTACTGGTACCAGCAGACTGCTATATTACAATACTCATATTGTAACATCCAGAGCAAACACTTCCCAGCAGGAAGGCTCCCCACCAGGCTAGTTCTTTTATCAGCCAAAGCAGCTGCACCTCAGCCTAACAAGTTTCACTTCACCTGTTTGCCAGCCCATGAATTTATTCAAACAAGCCAATGGCAAACCCCTTGGGAACCAATGGTCATTGTGCGCTCCTGTTACTATGAAGCCTGCCTGCCTCCCCCAACCCCAGCCCTCACTCCACTACTGAGTACAGTGCCCATCTGACCCTGGGTGGCATGCAGTGTCCTCCTCTAAGCTGTGGGTATATGTGACTAAAACACTGCTGTCAATTTCATCCATTCACACCAGGTGTTGTGTTCAACCATCTCCTATACTTTAGGGCAGGGACCCCTCCTTCACCAATGGGGTGAAAAGGAAGTGACCATAACAAGTGCATAGTGACAACAGGATTAACCCACCAACATCCTCCTCTCAGCGACTGTTAAAACTAGGCAGAGGCCGGATGCAGTGGCTCCAACCTGTAATCCTAGCACTCTGGGAGGCCAAGACAGAAGGATCGCTTGAGGCCAGGAGTTCGAGCCTGGGCAACACAGCAAGGACTCATCTCTCCAAAAAATGTTGAATTTAGCCAGGTGTGGCAGCACACACCTATAGCCCCAGCTACTTGGGAGGTTAAGGCAGGGGAACTGCTTGAACCTAGGAGGTCAAGGCTGCAGTGAGCCATGTTTGGGCCACTGCACACTCTGGCCTAAGTGACAGAGTGAAACTAAGCAGAAAAGGAGCAAGGATTTACAAGAGATCTGAACAGTCAACTAGCAAAATCTGACATCTGTACAAAACCCCACTCCCCAGTAGGAAAATACACACATTTTTAAAGCCAACAGAACATCTACCAAGACGAAGTACATTCGGGGCAATAAAAGAAATCACAGCAAATCTAAAATCCTTCAAGTCATAAGAATATGTTCTCACAACATAATGTAGTCCAGCTAGAAATCTATAATAGAAAAAGAGAAAACTCTCTAAATACTCGATAATTAAAACTACATACTTACAAATAATGCATGGGCCAAAAAGAAGGCCCAAAGGAAATATGAATGAAAATACAACATATGAACATTTGTGGAGTGCAGCTCAACAGTGCTAGAAAGGAAATTTAAGCACTAAATACTCACATTAGAAATGAGAAAAGATATGCCGGGGCAGTGGCTCATAGCTGTAACCCCAGCACTTTGGGAGACCGAAGGGGGCGGATCATGAGGTCAAGAGATCAAGTCCATCCTGGCCAACGTGGTAAAACCCCGTCTCTACTAAAAACACAAAAATTAACTGGGCGTGGTGGTGTGCACGTGTAGTCCCAGCTACTTGGGAGGCTGAGGCAGGAGAAACGCTTAAACCTGGGAGATGGAGATTGTACCACTGCACTCTAGCCTGGCAAAAGAGGGAGACTCTATCTCAAAAAAAAAAAAAAAAAAAAAAAAGAAAAGAAAAAAAGAAGAAGAAGAAAAAAAAGAAATTTCAAAAAGATAAACCAATAATCTAACAAATTTGAAAAAGAACAAACTAAGCCCCAAACAAGCAGAAGAACAGAAATAATAAAGGGCAGAGAAGTCAATAAAATTGAAAACAGAAAAACAGAAAATCAATGAAACAAAAAGCTGCTTATCTGAATAGAATCAACAAAACTAATTAATTTTAAGACATAAATAAAAACAGAGAGGACACAAACCAACATCAGGAATAAAACAGGGGTTCTCAAAAAGGCTCCTGCAGCCATTAAAGAGTATTAAGCAAATACCATAAATATCACCCTCAGAATACCCAAGCTGGTCTCTTGCAGAAGACAATCAGGGCAACTTCCACTTCCCTAACGGTCTTGAAATACCTTGAAAATCATAAGTTACCAAAATTCAGGCAAGATGAAACAGATAACCTGAATCATCCTATGACCATTAAAGAAATAAAATTTTTAATTAAGAGCTTCTGAACACAGATGGTTTCACTGGAGAATTACACCAAATATATAAAGAATTCATTCCAATTCTATACAAACTCTTCCAGAAAACAGAATGGGGAACACTTTGCAACTCATTTTGAGGCTACTGTTATCTTGATGCCAAAACTAGATGAAGATGGTACCCCACAAAAAGGAAAGAGAAACCAAAAGCAAAACAAAACAAAACCAAAAAACAACCACACAGATCAGTATCTCTCATGAATGCAAAAAGTCCTTGACAAAATCTATCAAATGGAACCCAACAACACATTGTTGCTATTCACTAGGGGTGGTTGGCAAAATATTACAGAAAATATTTAGGGAAAGCTATAGATTATAGTCTCAAACCTTTGAAAGACCAAAAGGTTTTATTAAGGCAGGTTGAAGGCAGTCACCTCGTTAATATTAGCATAGAAAAGAGGTAGGGACTGATCAAAGGCCTTACCCCACACCATTTAACCTCACTCTGTTTACTCAAGTTAATTTTGTGCTGGGTGGCCCTCTCCAGGGAAGATCCAATGGGAATGACCTGTTACTAGTATTTACTCTGGGTCAGAACCTAATGCTTTTACCAGTCATAAAACCACTCTCTTAACCATGTTAATTATCCACAAGTGTGTTAACTTAGAACCTCTGTTGTAAAATCTTGAGGGAATAAATGTGTGGATGAACAGGGAGTGTTAGTCGATTGGTTGCATTCTGCCCTCTAAAAGCAGCCAAGGGTCATTCCTAGCCCACTTAAAACACTGCAATGATGTAAGAGTGCATTCATTCATTCATCCTTAAGTCAGGGTCTGCAGAGCAGACTTCCACAGGCAGTGAACAACATCTCAACACATAAAAAGATTTGTACAAAAATTTGCACCTGGCGATCCTTTCATAGATCCTAAGTGTGATGTCTGGACGTTGATGCATATGTGTGGGATATGCCACCCTTCAGCCTTGTTACGACATTAGCACGTTAACCATCTGACATGAAAAGAAAAAAACCATGTTGTATTTTATTTTCATTCATGACCAACCAAGTGAGAGTTATTCCAGGTATGCAAGTCTGGTTCAACATTCAAAAAAATGAATCAGGCCAGGTTCGGTGGCTCTGCCTATAAACCTAATACTAAGAGGCCAAAGTGGGAGGATTGTTGAAGCCAGGAGTTCAAGATCAGCCTGGGCAACGCAGTAAGACCTGGTTCTACAAAACAAAACAAAACACAACAAAACGAAACAAAACAAACAAAAAGAAATTAGCCATACACTTGTAATCCCAGCTACTCGGGAGGCTGAGGCAGGAGGATCACTGGAGCATAGGAGGTCGAGGCTGCAGTGAGCCATGATAGCACCACTGCACTCCAGTCTGGGTGACAGAAGAAGACAGTGTGTCAAAAAATAAAAATAAAAGGACCAACACAATCTATATTAAAAGAATACAGAATGAAACGCATATCCAGATGATCATATCAACTGACACTGAAAGGTGTCAGTTTAGACAAAATTTAACACCCAATCATGATAATAAATAAATACCAGTGAAAAGATTGGGAACATAGGAAGTCCACTCTTAGCACTCTTACTCTACGTTATAATAAAAGTCCAGTTACTGAATTAAGGCAGAAAATTTTAAAACAGAAGGAAGGCCGGGTGTGGTTGCTTATGCCTGTAATCCCAGCACTCTGGGAGGCTAAGGCAGGCAGATCACTGGAGCTCAGGAGTTTGAGACTAGCCTGAGCAACATAGCAAGACCCCATCTCTACCCAAAATAAAGTAATTAACAAAAGAAAAGGAAAAGCCATATAGGTTGAAAAGAAAGAACACTGTCCCTATGTTTTGAACACAACTGTCTGTGCAGACAATCCCAGGCAATCTACAAAAACAAAACAAACCAAAACAAAATAAATCCCTCCTACAACTAGTAAGTGAGTTTAGCAGGATAAAAGATTAATGTGATCGATCAAAATGAAATACTTAGGTCTAAACTTATCAAAACATATTCCCAACCAGTATGCTGCAAATCATGATACTGATAAAGAAATAAAAAACTAAATATATTGTGTTTATATATTTTAATACTCAAAATAGAAAAAGATTATCTCCCAAACCTGATGTATAGGTTAAATGCAATTCCTATCAAAATCTCAGCTAAGTGTTGTAGACATAAACAAGTTTATTCTAATATTTACATGGAAAGTTACAAGCCCTGGGATAGCTTAAGCAATCTTGAAAAAGAAGAATAAAGTAAGAGGAGTCACTCTGTTCAACATTAACACTCACTATAAAACTACAGGGACGTAGACAGCAAGGGTGGCCAAGGGATTGACACAGCAAGTCAGTGGAACCCAAGAGAACCCAGAAACAGATCCACACAAAGATGCCCAACTAACTTTTTACAAAAGTCAAAAGCAATTCAATGGAACAAGTGTTGCTAGAAAAATTATGTACCCACAGGCAAAAATATAAACCTTGACTTACACCTCATATCCGGTAAAATGAAAAAGTCAAAACAGATCATGGGTGTAAAGAGAAAACAAAAGATACTGTAAAACTTTTGAAAAGCAACATAGGAGAAAATCTTCAGGATCAAAGAATAAGAAATAGTTCCTAGACTTAATACAAATTTCATATTCCCTAAAACAAACAAAAAAAACAAACAAAAACACTGGTAAATTAGACTTCATCAAAAATAAAAACTTTTGCTCTGTGATAGGCCCTGTTAAGAAAATGAAAGCTACAGACTGAGAGAAAATATTTGCAAATCACACATCCAATGATAAAGTTAAATATATAATGAACTCACAGTACCCAACCCAACCCAATTTTTAAAAGTGCAAAAAAAAATAAGGACACCCACGGACATTTTATATCTGTATAGAAGATATAAACATTCACATAAACACATGAAAAAATGCTCACAATTATTAGCCATCAGGGAAATACAACTTAAAACTACAATGAAGTATCACTAATATCTATTAGAATAGCTAAAATAAACAATAGTGAAAACACCACACATTGGCAAGGATGTAAAAAAAAACTGGATCACTCACCTAATTGCTGGTAGAAACATCAAATAGCCCAACTACTCTGGCAGTCTCCTATGAAACTGTGATTGCTATATGACCCAGCAACTGCATTAGTGGGCATTTATTTCCCAGAAAAAAATGATAAATGCAAATTTACACAAAAACTTGTGTACATATGTTCATAGTAGCTCAATTCTAATAGTCAAAAATTGAAAACAGTCCAAGAGTTCAAGACCAGCCTGAGCAACACAGCAAGATCCTATCTCTACAAAAAAAAATACAAATATTAGCCAGGCGCAGTGATGCATGCCTGTAGTCCCAGAACTTGAGGGACTGATGTGGGAAGATCACTTGAGCCTAGGAGGTCAAGGCTGCAGTAAGCCAAGATCACACCATTGCATCCCAGACTGGAAATCAGAGCAAGACCATGTCTTAAAGCAAAACAAAAGAAACTGAAAACAACCCAGGTCGATCTTGGATGAATAAACAAACCAGTACAGCTATACGATAGAGCACTACTCAGCAATAAAATGAAATAAACTATGGTATATGCACCAACTTGAATGAATCTCCAGGAAATTATGCTGAGTGAAAAAAAGTCAGTCACCAAAGGTTATAGACTGTATGATTCTGTTTATTTAATATTCTTGATGATGATGAAACTATAGAAACAGAAAATATATTATGGTTGACAAGCGAAGGAACTGGGGCTGGGGTATAGCAGGGGTGTGGGTGTGTTTATAAAACAGCAATATAAGCAATCCTTGGGATGGAACTGCTCTGTATCTTAACTGTTGGTAGACACAAAAACCTATACACGTGATAAAAGAGCACAGAAGAACGTACACACACACACACACACACACACACACACACGTGCATAAAACTGGAGAAAGCTATATAGGATCAGCAGATTGTATCAATGTTGGCATCCAGGCTGTGACCTTGTGCTATAGTATACATAGTACATATACACATAGATAGTGCTGTAGTACAAGATACCAGAGATCTCTCTGTATTTGTTATTACAAGTGTATGTCAATCTATAACTACCCCAAAATTAAACGTTTAATTAGGAAAAAAACACCACAACATTTTCTTTTGGAAATAGAAATGGTGATTCTTAAGTTCACTTGGAAAATAAGCAAAATCAGGACAAAGCAAAAATACTTACTTTGACTTCTACTCCACACTGTCCTGGAAGTTTAAGCCAGGGCAGTAAGGCAAGAAAAATTAAGTCACCCACACAAGAAAGAAAGAAAGTAAAACCACTGGCATCTATCTTAGCCTCCCTGGAGAGAAAGAGGGTTCCTGCTTGGCTCCCAGAATCGTCCCACACAGAAACTGGGGGAACCATATGAAATTGGACATGGGTGAGAGGTCAAAGCAGAACTTAAAAGCCCAGGCTTTATTGTGCAGAACAGGACAAAAAGCATAAAGAAAAGTATAAAAGAAAAGAATCCCTGGGATAGAAAGAATTATTTTCTTAGAAAACCATCAACACTATTTAGTCAAAGCTTACCCCTCCCCTCCAAACACACACTTGAGATCAGGAGTTTGAGATGAGCCTGGCCAACATGGTAAAACCCCATCTCTACTAAAAATACAAAAATTAGCTGGGAATGGTGGTGGTTGCCTGTAATCTCAGCTACTTGGGAGGCTAGGCCCGAGAACTGCTTG